TACTCTAGTTCAGCTGTGGTTAGAAAACACTCAATCTTGAGTTTGTTCATCTTTAAATTTGTTGAGGTTGGATTTATGGCCCAAATATGGTTTATTTTCTATGAAACTGGATTACATCCCATTCACTGATGACATTGAGTTTTTCTATACTCACGCTAATTTTCTGTCTAATTGTTCTATTAATTATTGAGAGAAGGGTGTTGACTTCTTCAAATATAACTGTGATTTTGTCTATTTATCCTTTCAGTTCTATTAGTTTTTTTAAATAAACTTTATTTTTTAGAGCAGTTTTAGGTTCACAGCAAAACTGAATAAATATACAGAGATCTTCCTTTTGTCCCTGTCCCTACACATGTACAGCTTCCCCCATTATCAACATGCCCTATCAGAGCAGTACATTTTTTAGAGTCAATGAAATTGCATTGACATATTATAGCTCAAAGTCCATAGTTTGCATATAATTACATATAATATCAAACCTTTTCAGTTGTACTTAAAATAATAAGGGAAAGTATGCCTATCTTATTAGAAGTGGTACTCTCAATGCAGTATTTTTAAAACATCAAAATGTATGCAAAAAAACCTATGTAAACAAAATATCAAAACTTTTAAATAAAGACAGGATTAGTATTACTGTGTTTCCTCTTATCTTAGGCTCCAATGTAGTCACTCTTTAGCACTGTTATTGATCCTGTCTATATTTAAAAACTCAGGATTTACTTGTGTAACAAAGAAAACAACAATCAGGCTTAAACAAGAGAGAAACTAACTTTTTTCTTGCATAGAGGAAGTCTTGAATCAGCAGCTCTCGGCTGGGAAAGAGCTCTACGGCACTATTGGGAATTTGGGTTCCTCCCAGTTTATTCCACTAAATTCAGCCCATGGCTCCCTTTTCAAGGTCACCTTGTAGTTATGCTTAACTCTGTTGAAGAAGGAGGAGGAATGACAGAAAAGCACAGAATCCTTCTGGTAAATACTCATCCCTTTGCATTTCTAGCTGGCAAAGAAGGTTGGGAATATGGTCTTTTATTCTGGGTTGCAATACATTCAGCTAAACATCAGGGTTTGCTATCTAATGAAGAGGACACTAGATGATAAGGGAAGGATTAGGAATCTCTACCATACATTCAATATCTTGTTAGGTCCCAAAGTCTGAAGGACATTGACCCAATCCCTATTTATTTCATGATTCCATAAATATTAGACTAGCAATAATAATAAACAGTGATTAATTGCACCAAGTATAGAGTGCAAGAATTTTAAAGTACTTGAATGTTGAGAACTGTTGGAAAACATCAACACTAACTAACAGCTCCTTCCTTCCCATGCTCTTCTTAAGGCTGACCTGGAAGTTCTCACTTATCATCCTGGTCAATATGAATGGGTGCTATTTTAGATCTAATTCACTGACACAAAGTGCATAGGCTTTATTTTCCCCCATATCAATCCCATTGTTCTGGGTATCTGAGAGGCAAGTTCCCATTAGCATCCAGACTATTAAATTCCCTCAGTTCTCACAGACAACAGCTGTGTAAAGGTGACTCTAAAGTTTTCTGGGGCATCAGTCTTGGAGCAGTATATCTATTTCAGGAAGAGGGGAAGAATTTTGAGCAAGGTCAATAGTTACTTTGTTTTGTTTTTTTGCATCACCCCCACCAGTGTAATATCAGTATGGAAGCTCCAAACTGAGGGCTGAAAGACAGGATTTTATTATATCTTTAAGAGAAAAATGGGGTGCCTGGTTGGCTCAGTGGGTTAAAGCCTCTGCATTCTGCTCAGGTCATGATCTCAGGGTCCTGGAATCGAGCCCCGCATCGGGATCTCCTGCTCAGCAGGGAGCCTGCTTCCTGCCTCTCTTTCTGCCTGCCTCTCTGCCTACTTGTGATCTCTGTCTGTCAAAAAAATAAATAAAATTAAAAAAAAAAACCTGTATTAAAAAAAGAGAGAGAAAAGTCATAAAGCCATGAACCTGCAATGGAGAATTTTTTGTTTCAAACCAAAATTTTTAAAATAAATAAATAAACAGATACACAAACATTAGAACTATAAAGCACACATGGAGTAAAACATTTTAGGTTTCTTTGCTCATAATTATCTAATTTATAGATGTGATGTAACAAAACTTTACTAAAGATAAATCAGGGAAGATTTTAGTACACTTCAATTTGGGAGAGCAAGGGCAGAAAAAGAAAAAGAAATAACAGTTGAAGAGACCTTGTCAATTGGAAAACACTGTATCCAGCTGTTAGCAGTAGGATCCTGGTGGCTCCATAATGCAAGTGCTAAGCATGTGGTACCATCTCTCAAAGAGATGAAGATATTTCCCTAAGGTTGTACATTTGAAATGTGTCAGAGTCAGGGTTCAAACAGATCTAAACCTTCTAACTGCAGGAAAACATGCTGCTGCCCAAGCATGAGAACATAGTAGGCATGAAGAGAAGTAAAGCAAAAGCTACAGCTGGGTCAGTGCTAGAGACTGGCAGAGCGGCAGGTATGCGGGTAGCCCAGGGGTCCCCTAGTGTTCATAAGTCACTGATGTCACACCCTGCTATCCACTAAGGATTCCAAATTTTCTTTTTCCTCTTACCACAGTTTTTTTTTTTGAAATATGAAGTTCCCTATTTAATTATTGTTCATAATTCTTCAATTCTATTCTACTCTAAAGCTACATAAAATGCCCCAGATGGTGAATTAAGAGAAAACTGGATTAAACAAAAAGAACCATATCTGTTTAACCCAAGGAAAAAAATTCAATGAAATAGCATTCTTTTCCACTTCAAGGCTGACGGTTTCTCACCCTAATGTATGGGAAAGTAGGAAAAACCATTCTGCACCCAACTCCACCCATAAAATGACTGCAGCATATAAACCCTTGGAGGAACCAACAATTGCCCAATTTATCTGTGGGAAATTTCTGTCTCTCTCTCTTTGACATGTTCACTTCTATTTGCCAAATGCTCTCAGTGTGTCAGTCCCTTGTACCAGGGCACTCTCCACCAGATACATCACTCTAAGTTTTCTTTTATCTCCGTTCTATAATTCCCCCAGATAGTTTTGTAATTCATTAGCAACTTGTTAGTATTGAGTATTCTTATGAGAGGTGTTAAATTTAACAAGAGAACCTGGGAATGAAAATCTCTTAATCCAAAATTAATACTGGCTGGTAAACAGAATATTGTGGAGAACAGAGGTAGAGCTGTAAGGACTTCCAGTCATTCCCCAGGGACTTCTGAGGGGATGAACCTGCTCCCAGGGGCAAAATCAGGAGATACCAACTGCCAACAGCTCACCAGGTGTCCTTACAACTTGAATGAAACTCCTGAAGCATGGTCATACTCTTTCTTCTGAAGTTTTGCTGGATTCTCAAGATTCCCCAAAGACCCAGGGGTTAAGGAGGAAAAAGGATTTGCTTTTCCAGTTGGAAGAGTGTCCATAGCTACAATCTTAACCTACTGGATTCCAGTAGCTCTCTTTTGTGTTTCACATTGCGATTCAAGATGGCATAAGTATTAAGAAAATTTATGTGGCATATCAAAAGCTTGAAGTAAAGTTTAAAATAGCAAAGTAATATATTCAGTTACAACGTTGTATACAAACCCATTTAAGAAATGGTTCTTTTCTTTGTTTGTTTCATTTACTCTAAGAGGATATTAGGTATTTCTTGCATGGTCGTAATTTTTGAAACCAAGGAGGCTAATTCAATATGTTCAAGGGGGAAAAGGTATTTCTGTTCAGATATGTTAATAAAAATGGGTTGCAATGTTGAATATCATTCTTTTAAATAAACTGATAGAATATAAATCTCTCTCAGTGCATCTTATCTCCTTTAAAACAATACACCAGGAGAAAATGATCTCTTTTCTTCTCATGCTCTGATTGGGTTTAGTCCTTCTCAATTGTCTCCTGACTCTTAGCTGAAAAACAAAAGATAACTAAAGGCCATGGTAAGAGCTTAGGTTCTTATATAAAATGGGATTTTTGGTTTCTTCAAAATGTTGCTTAATCTAGAAGATATCATAATACCAGAACAGTTGTCAAATTAGGAGCCAGTTCTGGGCTATCCTATCAATTGATATTTTCTCGACTTCTCCTTTTTCCAGACTCAGAATTCATTTGAGTTTTAATCAAATGTGAAGAATTATCAAGAAGGCAGGATTAATAAACCTAATGTGGGTAGATTTTCTGTTCTTCAAAATATGGGCAGCCCCTACTAAGAGTTGATTCTCATAATTTTTTGGCAGGAGTGGGGGGTGGAGAATGAATTGAATAATTTCTTCTTTATTACTCAGTACTTTGAGATTGCACTGTCTCTAGTTGAATTATAAAAGCTTTTATAATGCAATATCACTTAATGTTGACTATTGTCAACTAAATAATTGTAACAATTATTTTTATGCCCAAAATTTCCTAAATCTTTAACTATATTGAGATATAATTGACACATAACTTCCTGTAAGTTTAAGGTGTACAGTGTGATGATTTGATACATATGTATATTACTAAATGTTTACCACAATAAAGCTAGTTAACACAGCCTTCACCTCACATAATCACTGTTTTCTTGTTTTTATAGTGAAAACATTGAATCTCTACTCTTGTGCCAACATTCGAGTATATAGCACAGTATTAATTACAGCTACCATGATGTACCTTAGTTCACGGGAGCTTACTTATAACTGAAAGTTTGTACCCTTTGACCAACTTCTCTCCATTTCCCCCAGCCCCAGTCCCTGGCAACCACCACTCTACTATTGGTTTTTTATGAACTTGTTATTATTAAATTCCACATATAAGTGAGATCATACAGTTGATATTAAGAGGTAGGAACCCCTATTCATAGCCAAAACAAACACTTTGCTAAAAATACATATATTTGCCCAGAAAAAGTGAATATTTGCTAAAAGATATTCTTCACTTAAAGTTTATTTAAAAAAATAAAATTCATGTGCCCTACAATATGAAAGAGATTTTAAAAAGCTAAGAATCCTACTGTATTGAATCATATAAGTCACTGGAATAATCCAAAAGCAATTACTTTCTCAAGTTAGAAACACTATTTTAGCAAGATGGTCTCTGTTTGATTCAATATTTGGTGGAGACTCATGCCTATATGCATGAATGCTGCTGAGCCGGTTCAATCCAAGCAGTTTAAAAACCTCTTATGTTCTCAGACCTAGGCTATACAGGCTCAATTTGGATCCATGAAAATCACTCTGACAATTAAAAGTAGGATAATAGAGAAATTTTGATAACCTAAATCTTGGAAAATTATTATGATTCAAAGTGGTGAGATATTTTAAGATAGAAATTGATCATGTACATTTCATTTCTAGAATCCTAAGAACAGATGAAGCAGAAGATGCCAGGTGTGGACAGATGAGCCCTTCTTTCCATGGGTTACACAACAAAGAAGCTTATTAAAGAGCAGGGACCAACTCTGACCCAGAGAAGAATGGTGTCCTACAGTCCACAGCAATAGGCACTCTAAGCTAACACCAACAACAAGAACAACAACAAAATGGTTGAAAATTTCTGGAGAAAACTCAAAATACTCTATGGCTAAACTAAGCCCATGTGAAGGTTAATAAGAGATGTCACGAAAGAATGAAAAGCAAGGAATCTAGAATTCTGAAAATATCTAACAGCCAAACTCATTAAGATGTCATTGTCTCAAGCAACTGAAAAGGGAACTAATATTTGGGGAGCATCTCTGTTGCAAAACAAGGTACTAGATGCTTTAAAACATTTCCTTTAATTTTAATAACCCTGTGAAGTAGGTATTATTAACTTTCAAGGCCACAAAATTTATTAGTAAGTTAGAAAATCAGGATGCAATCCAGATCAGTGAGACTCCAAAGCCTAAGCATTCCCACTGCATTGCACTACTTACGTGGAAAAAGCAGCACACACTGGATAGTTGGTAAAATTAAGTTAGGTAAATTACAGATGCATTCATGCTTTTACCTATAATTCTGTTCAGAGTAATTTACTTTAAACACCTACCTATAGGAGTCCAAAAATATAATTCACAAAGTTATTTAGTATTGCATTATTTGTAACAGTAAATGTCTGGAAAAACATAAGATGTCTTCTGATAAGGAGTGCCTGAATAAGATATCATTTGTACATTGAATTAATTGAATTAATTATGTAGTTACATAAAAAGAATGAAAAAGTTAACTATGTACATATATGGAAATAGCTCTAGAAAAAATTCATTAATCAAAATAAGGTACAAAACACTGTATAAAACATGCTAACATTTATTTATATATATTTATATAAAATTTATTTATATATAAGCACAAATATATACACTTATAAAGATATTCATCAGAAGAAACAGCTAAAAATTAATTAAAATGTTTATATAGAAATGGTAAAGGGATATGGGTTGAGGGGACAAATAAGCTAAATTTCTTTGAGTTTGTAATTTATTTTTTAACTATGTAGATATGATTACTCAATAACACTAATGATCAGGAAATTGAAAATGAAAACCTACAATGATATCACCTCATACTTTTTAGGATGGCTGTCATATATAAAATAGCAACAGCTAACAAAGATGTGGAGAGATTGGAGCCCTTGTACACTGTTGATCAGAATGTAAAATGGTTCAACCTCTAAGGAAAATATGGAGGCTCCTCAAAAAATTAAAAATAGAAGTACCATCTGACCCCCCAATCTTACCTCCACCTATATATATCCTAAATAACTGAAATCAGGATTTCAAAGAGATGTTAGCACTCTCATGTCTCCTGCAGTATTATTCACAATAGCCAAGATATAGAAAAAATTTAAATGTCCATGAACAGATGAATAAAGAAAATGGAGCACATACATACAATAGAATATTCAGCCTTCAAAAAGAAGTCAGTCTTGCTATATGCAACAACATGGATAAACCTTGAAGACATTATGCTAAGTGAAATTAGCCAGACACAGAAGGAAAAACACTGCATGATTTTACTCATATGAGTTATCTAAAATAGAAACACAAAAGGAAAATGATGGTTGCCAGGGGCTGGGGGGAGGTAAAAATGGGAAGTTGCTTTTCAATGGATATAAAATTTCAATATATAAGATGAATAAATTTTAGAGATCTGCTTTACAACAGTGTGCCTATACTTAACAATATGGCACCATACACTTAAAAATTTCTTGATAGGGTAAATCTCAAGTTAAAAGAAGCCTTAATGTGTTCTTATCACAATTAAAAAAAAAAACTAATAGGCCTATTTTAAAAAGAAGTACAAAAGCAATCTTAAATTTGTTCAGTAGTTTAATTTCAGTGTTAATATTTATTTTCTTATTTTGACAACTTGTGAACATTGTATTATGCTACAAGTAAATAATCGCTTTAACATTATTCTACATTGTGATTTCAATGTATGGAAAAAGAGACACAAAGTTCATAAATTAAATAAATTTTCTGTTGTGTTGAAATAAAGACTACATAACTCATTATTTTTAGAAAAATAGTGTATCCACAAAAGGATATGGGATGCAGCAAAAGCAATGTAAGGAGGGAAATATATAACAGTAAATGCTTATATCTGAAAAGAACAAGGGTCACAAAGGAAGAGTTTAGCCTAAAGAACTAGAAAAAAAAAGAAAAAACTAAACTCAGAGCTTGCAGAAAGAAGAGCATGTGGGGTGCCAGGTGGCTCAGCGGGTTAAGCCTCTGCCTTTGGCTCGGGTCATGATCTCAGGGTCCTGGGACTGAGCCCTGTGTTGGGCTCTCTGCTCAGCAGGGAGCCTGCCTCCCCTCTCTCTCTGCCTGCCTCTCTGCCTACTTGTGATCTCTCTCTCTGTGTCAAATAAATAAATAAAATCTTAAAAAGAAAAAAAAAAGAGCATAATAAAGGCTAGAGTGGAGATCCATAAAATAGAGAATAGGAAAACAATAGAGAAAATCAGTGGGTGAAAAAAAAAGATCTTTCTTTGTTTTGTTTTATTTTTTTTTTTCAAGAAAAGATCACAAAATTAACAATCTGCACCTAGAGTAACTAAGAAAAAAAGACTCAAGTAAATAAAATCAGAATTGAAAGTGGCTTACATTATTACTGACTTGACAGAAGTGAAAAGGATTATAATCTAAAAGAAATGCACAAATTCCTGTAAACTTATAATCTACCAAGACAGAATTGTCAAGAAATGGAAAATCTGAACAGACTAGTAAGGAATGAGAAAACTGAGCCAGTAATCAAAAACCTCCCAACCCAGAAAGATTTAGGACCAGATGGCTTCACTGGTGAATTCTACCAAACATTTAAAGAAGAATTAACACAACCTCAAACTCTTCTAAAAAATTGAAGGGGAGGTAACACTTCCTAAATCTCTCTATGAGGCCAGCATTATCCTGATTCCAAAACCAAAGACACTGCAAGAAAAGAAAACTATATATCAATATTGCTCATGAATATTAACCCAAATACCCTCAGCAATATTACTAGGAAGCCAAACTCAACAGCATGTTAAAAAGATATACCAACAACCAACAGGGATTTATACTTAGAATGCATGGTTGGTTCAACATGCAAAAATCAGTGTAAAACACCACATTAAGAGAAAGAAAAAATATCCCACATGATTATCTCAATTGACACAGAAAAGGCATTTTAAAAAATTCAACAACTTTCCATGATAAAAACACTCACCAAGTGAGGAATAGAGGGAAATTATCTTAATGTAATAAAAACCTTATATGAGAAGCCCATTGCTAACATCAAACTCAATAGTGAAAGACTGAAAGTTTTTCCTCTAAGCCTGGGAACAAGACAAAAAATGCCTACTTTGGTCACTTCTACTTAACACAGAACTGGAAGTCCTAGCCAAAGAAATTAGGCAAGAAAAAGAAAAAAAAAAAAAGGCATTCAAATTGGAAAGGAAGAAGCAAATTATCTCAATTCACAGATGCCATGACCTTATATGTAGGAAACACTGAGATGAAAACAAACAACTGTTAGAACTAATAAACTCACTCAGCAAAGCTGCAGAACACAAAATCAACATGCAAAAATCCATTGCATTTCAATACACTAACAACTAACTATCTAAAAAGGAAATTAAGAAAAGAAAATAACATTTTCAAGAGTATCTAAAAGAACTGAAAGCAGTGACACGGATAGGTAGCTATATATCCACGTTCATAGCAGCACTATTCACAACAGCAAAAGCTGAGAGCAATGAAATGTCCACCAGTGGATGCATGGATAAACAAAATATGGTATATGCATACAACGGAATATTATTCAACCCTAAGAAGGAAGAAATCCTGACACATTCTACAACATGGATGAGTCTTGATGACATACTAAGTGAAATAAACTAATGAAAAAAGGAGAAATATTGTGATTTCGTATGTATGAGGTCAAGTTCTTAAAAACAAACAGCATGGTGGTTGTCAGGGGCTTGGGGAAAGGGGAAACAGAGTCAATGTTCAGTGGTAGGGAGTTTCCATCTGGGAAGATGAAAACAAGTTCTAGTGACAGATAGTGGTGATGGTGGCACAACAATGTGAAGATACTTAATGCCAATGAACTGTGTACTTAAAAATGGTCAAAACAATACATTTTATGTTATGTATGTTTTACCACAATTTAACAAAACAACTCATTATTGGTGCTGGATATGTTGCTTCATATCCAGAGTCACAAAATGACTAGTTGCTTCATTATTTACGGTGGTGATAATCAGATTTCTCCATTGTGAATGTTTATTTTCCCCCTTAAAATTGGGAAATAACCTATGTGTCAGTATTTCTAGCCCCATCAATGTTTAAGAGATGATACCTATATCTATATGTATGTGCTTATGTATGCATATATGTATATATGATACAAGTATAGCAAAGCATAACAATTGTTTGATTTAGGTGGTGAGTATATGGGGGAGTAATTATAGTATTTTTTCCTGCTTTTAAATATGTTTACAATTGTTGGAAATAAAATGCTGAAGATGCAAGAGGTTATCTAAATTGTATGGAACAAAATTAAAGGGGGCAGTAGAAATAAACAGGTTGCTGAGGTAGCTAAACAAATTTCATTGTGGTTCAAATACTCCTCACTCCCAACAACCTTTCATTTATCTTTTCCTAGTGTGTATACATTTGACTGTTGATATAAGCTGAAATTGCTTATATCTGTAGATCTCAGATGAAGGTGATGTTTTTCTTCTCAGTAGATTATAAGCAACTTGAGTATAGCAATAGCATTTTTTGTTCTTTCTGTCACTTCATAGTCACTTTATATTACTTACACATACACATACTGCCATGATTCTAGGTCACCAAGAAACTCATTAAAATTGCAGGTTGGAGGTGATAGATTACAAAATATGCCTCATTTCTCCACTCTGAACTTTCTCCATCCCCCTCCAATGTGACTTTATAGGACTTCCCAGCAAGAGGCAGAATCTAACCCTTAATCCTTTGCATCTGGGCTGTCCTTGCTTTGCCCATGGAATGTGGTAGAAATGAAGCTGTACCAGTCCTGAGCCAACTAGTCAAGATCTTGCATACCTCACACTCTTTCAGAATCTTCCCAGCCACCAGGTGAACTGACACAGGCTAGCATGCTCTGTCTTAAGATACTTGCTCTATTGTTCTCAATCCCTCAGCTGATAAGCAGGCAACACTTAGATGCAGAGCCTCCTGGCTGACCAGAAGCTGACTAGATGCATTAATTACTGAACCAAGCTGAAAGCAGAATTGCCAACTCACAGAACTGTGTGATAAATGTTTGTAGTTTTAAGCCACTCTGTTTGTGATGGTGTTTTGCATAGAGAAAGATAACTAATGCTAGAGACAAAGTGGGGGAGATTAAGGAAAAGAAGAGGAAGGAGGAGTCAGGAAGGGAAAAGAGAAGGCCTGAGCATATGAACGGCATTTTTCATCGAAGTCCTGAATACTGTATTTTATTTAATCAGAGCTGCTGTTGCACTGGTGGCAATCAGCAAAACCACAGAAATTATATTGTGTTTCTTCTATTTTATCAAACTTGAAGGTTTGAAAAATTCATACAGATAAAAGAACTAATTATAATTCAGGAGAAATTTTCTTCATTTGCCATTAGTTCATAAGCGCAGAAGCAGCATCAATCTTCTAGCAGTAAGTAGCTACTTAATCTTGTCTAGCACTTTTTTCTTGGATTAAGCCCATGCCAGAACATTATTGCTTTCCTGTGCCCATTAGGATACCAGTGCTTTACTTTTTAAGGCTGTTGACAGAGTATTGACTGAGGTAATTTTTTTCAGAGGGACAATAAACAGATTCCTGAAGCCACAGGGATTCTGGACTCCAATCTGAAGCTACTAATTTCTTCCTTGATCCCCACAGTACATTTCCTCTGAGTATAACCAACTCTGAGTGTGTGTGTGTGTGTGTGTGTGTGTGTGTGTAACATCAGGAAATAAATGATGAACATTATCCAGTGAAAAATACTGACAAAGACCAGAGAAAAACTGGTCAATGTCAAAACTTAGATAAGAGATATTTATGTGACCCAGCATTGGAATATCAGTGCTCTATCTTGATACTGTGCAAGAACCTCAAACAATATCTGTGGACAGAGGAGATTAAGAAAAAAGTAGAAGAGATAAAATTAGAGGAAATATCAAACTCAAGAATCACTCAATTACTTACCCTCTGCTAAGCATTTTGAAAAACTGGAAGAAACCTGGGAACTAAGAGGATGTGCAGAGCAGAGATGCTCATGTCATCAGAGAATAGTTTGGAGGAAAATAGAGGAAACATGGGAATGAGACATCTGACCAGATACTGCTTCTGACCTAATTTTGCCTTCAGCCAACTTTCTCTTCGATATTGACTTTTGCATTCTGTTGACTGTTCTGATCAAAATAAAATTAATAATGCCAACAAATTTAATTCTACTTATCAGTATTCTTGGACCCATCAAGCAGTCAAGCTTTGGTAGTCAGTGATACACTTTCGTGGCCCCTCCCACAACTCCCTCACTCCAAAATAAGAAGGACTGGAGGAAACCAATGGTTCCCAACACACTGTACAAGAGAATTTCTCTAGATATTGTCATAAACACAGTAGACAACTTTGAGGATGGGGGTATGGTAATCTGAATTCAGAAAACTCCCCCCGTTAATTTTCTTGCAGTCATCCAGATGTTAGTTCAGGACCAGATTTTTGGAAACCACTGGATGAGATGAAATTAAAGAGTCTATGATATTGTATTTGTAGAGATTTTAGTAGAGTAGGTTAACTTCTGTAGAATTAATTTGGGTACTTTCATAAATATGCCATTTGAATGAGGCTCCAAAGTAGAGAATACAAATATAGATGCCTATAGAATGAAATGAGCAGGTGGAAAGTGTAAAAAAAACTGGAGAAGAGTGCACTCTCTTAAAGTCATAACCTATTACTGCCATCTTGGAATGAGGGTGCAGTATGACTTTACAGGTACTTTGGAGAGAAATTTCTGTTTTTAAAAAAATATTTTTATTTGTCAGAGAGAGAGAGCACAGTGAGAAAGAACGCACGGGCAGAGGGAGTGGCCGGCAGGGGTAGAAAAGCCAACTCCCTACCAAGCAGGGAGTCCAACATGGGACTCGATCCCAGGAGCCTGGGATGATGACCTGAGCCAAAGGTAGATGTTTAACCAACTGAGTCACCCATCTGCCCCCAAATATCTTGATTTTGAAATGTTAACAACTCATTTTTTAAAACTTAAAATACCATCCTTGGGCCCAACTGTGTATTTCTCTGGGCCTGAACACGACTGTCCTATATGCTACCTTAGAGTATTTGCAAATGCTATGTTGCTTTGGTTAAAATTCCATTCTGTTATAAACATTCTGAAGCATTCTATGTGTCAAAAGACTTTAAACACAGCAAGGAAAGTGTCCCAAACTGAATAATGACTAATCTTTCCAAAATAAAATTTTTTTTCACTGAGGTATACATTAGTATTAGTTATGACCTTATCTTAAAGACAGCCTGATAGGGGGTCTCATTAACACCCCTCTTCCCACACATAAACCTAAACATACACACATATTTTTCTTTTAAGTGTCTTATTTGTGTGAGTTTATAGAGTTGGGTGTTTGCATTATAAGAGATACTGGGTATAATAAGATAATGGAACATTGGCTATCACTCTCAGGGTCTCTTGAGCTACAGTGTTTCAGTTCTTGTGGAGAATGATGTTAAAACCACAAGATAAAATGACTCTTTCCTTGAGAAAGCTTGTGAGACTCTGAACCAGAAAGTATTCAAGTAAGAAAGTCAACACAGAACCAGAGAGAACGGCATTCTCTGTATTTCTCTTCAGATTACCACATGGCTCCAGCACCTGGAAAATTCAGAGAAAGGACAACTTTATCTGTCAGGTGTAAGATGTTGTAGCTCTTAGTGGTTTGAGGTCAGTCATGCCCTCTTATGGAGGGCAGCAGTATACTGACAAATAAACTACACTGAGTTCCTTGCTAGCAGCCACCATCTACAAGGAGACGAGAGCTGATATAAGCCAAGTCATTTCTGTATACCAATGAAACAAGTCAGGGAACAATCAGAAAATTGATTCCTGCCCATCATATACCTGTCACTATGGCCATATGTGACCCTACTGAATGCATTTTCACCCTAATGACATCTATTAAGACTGAGCTAAGCCAATATGCCCATTCAGAGTCCATAGCTCTTTTGGGCAAATATTGCTTGCCCCAGTGATTAGTGATGGTTGGAGACAATTATTCTTTCTGCAATGTCATTATTAGATATTATTAAAAAAAAACACCATACCTAATTTTGCCACAAGAACCAATATTTATTAGCAAGCAGAATCAAAACATGCAAATAATCAATCTGCAAATTTGGTGAAGTCCTCATTCCCCTCCTTTCCACTCTGTCTCTGTAGGCATTCAACAAGCCCCATGCATGAAATGTTCATCTTGCCACAGCAAATATTTACATGGTAGACCAGTTATGTGTCTTGTTTGATTAGAGCAAAGGATTGTCTATAAAGTGAGGAACTCAGAAATAAGTAGAGTTCTAGACCTAAGGAACTGCTGAAAAAATATTAGCCTACTGGGATTGTCAGACTATTAATCACACAGTGGCAGATTTTTCTGGACAAATCTTTCTGTTTGACATATATTGATATTATTTATTTCTCTAGTGACATAATTTAATATTATTTATGTTAATTAATAAACCCTCTGGTGCCAAATCAGACTATGATATGTGAAACAGCTTCTGGGGTCCCCTCTGAAGAGAGTGTGAACTGTGGAAAAGGTTTCACATTCTCACCAATCACCTGTGAAATATTCTGAAGTGTAAACTAGTGAGTAGCACACTTCACATGTTATGTAACCACCCCTAAAGTATAGATTAATGTTAATTTAGACATGCATATACACCTCACACTTCAAACTAAAAATTCCAACAAAATTTTAGAAAATAGAGTAATATTCCACAGAACATTGTTTTTACCAAAGAGCTCACTTTTCAGTGAACTCACTTTACAGTGAAAGGCTCCAAGGCCATGGTATTTACTGATCTTACTATCCAATCCATCATCTAGTAGCAGCTAGCTCTGTAAAACCGTAGAATGGCTCAGTAAGATGCAATGTATTTCCAGTGCTATAAGAAACAGACATAATGTTATCTGGGAGAAAGCACCAATAAGATAGTGGTGTTGTACATGGATTTAGTATTCACTCTACACCAGCAAGCAACAATGGAGCTCTTTCCTCCTGAAGGCACAGGTGCAGGATTCAAGAGCTCAAAGTGAAAAGATCCTCTCTTAGTTTTGCACACATAAAGACCTTCTCATAAAATCTCACCTCATGTAGCACCAAACCCATCCCTCTTGATAATCAACATCAATTTTCTTGACCAAAGTTCCAATATCACAAACCTCCTTTCTTTTTGTTTAATCAGTTGCTAGAGAAGCCCAAAATAGCCAGGTGCATGTTACAGCTTCACATTTAATAGACTTAACCATTTAGCCCTTTAGTGGAAGCACTATTCTTCTGAAATACTAAAATCTTGAAACTATAAGAGCCCTGGGTGTTTCTTGGTATTAGACAACAAAAAGAGTGTTATATAGCAGTAACAACACTTTTTTTCCCTGACCATTATTTGACTCTCCTTTCAGTATTTTGGATTTCCTCAAATTATGAGCTAAAAAAGAGGCAGCGCCTATCTCCCATTATAGAGGCTGAAGTATTCCTTATCCAGCACCCCTGTGCGATTAGTACAATGGGATGTTATCAAATAGCTAATAACAAGCATTCATTCTGGAACTTGAATAAAGAACTAGGAAAACAGAAAAGCAAGATAGGAAGAAATTCTCTGAAAGTAGATGTGGGTGCATCCAGTTTCAAAGAGCACCAGCATCTGAAATGCCTGCAATAACATTCAGTCAACAGCCATGAACACTATGGTACATAGAGTTCACATTTGTTTCCTATTGCTGTGTAACAAATTACTACCATCTTTGCACTTTAAAACAACACAAATTCATTCTTATGCAATTTTATAGGTCAGAAGTATGGGTGGACTTGACTGATTTCTCCACTCTGAGTCTCATAAGAAAAAAATCAAGGTGGTGGCCTACCTGGGCTCTTATCTGGAGGTTCTGGGTAAGAATTCACGTAGGAGAAAGGCTCTTCCACAGCACCCGGTTGACTTAAGGACCATCTGCACTCACATCTCCTGACTGCTATCACAACTCGCATCCTGCTCCTGGTTGGGACACTTCATCCATTCCCCACACCTTCCTGCCTCTGCAAAGCCTCTAATCTGCACCTTTGGTTCCCTCCTCTGGAAAGAGTAAATCCTCTAACTCAGCATGACTTTGCCCTTTACTGAAAACTGTCTCTCTGCAAAGAACTCCATTTCTCCCACATCTTCTTGTTGGAGGCCTCATCTCCCTCTTTCATTCCCCTACCCTTCAGGTTCATGAGACAGTATGAGTGCTCTCCTCACTTTGTAGTATCTGTGCCCCACCACTGCTCCTTGCTCCTACAATACCCCAGTCCCCTCATGCTCAGGCCATCAGGATATCCCAAGACCCCACTCTCCTCATTGCTGTCATCTACTCTTTCTCATTCCTTTACTGAAGAGGGGATTCTGGCAGCCTCTGCTCACATTCCACCTTCTTAGCAGAGCTTTCTACAACTACCCCATCAGAAGTCACTCTACCTCCTCCCCATTTCTTCTCTAATTCATCGTCGTGCTCATTTCCTTCATAGAACTTGTATTGGGAGATGTTTTATTATTCTTTCATTCATTGAGTACATGTTTCTCCTGATAAAATAGGGGAGAGTCTTTGTCTGTTCCATAGTTGTATCCTCAGTACCTAAAATAGTATCTAGCACTTTAAGTAAAACTGCCTATCTGAAACTGGGTTGAATAGCTATACATGTACCTCATAGTTCTATGAAGTTCTGCCTTGATATTTTACCTAAATAGCCAAATTTTCAGATACTATTCATGGAATAAGAGGCTTCCTGTTCACTACCATGCAATATTTACTGTATTATGTGTTACATGTTTATATAAGGTCTAGTTCATGATTTTCCACTCTGTCACTTGGGTGTATATGACTGTTTTGCCAAGGCCAATCTATTTTTGATCATTTTGACTTGATAAACTTTGTGGTAACTGATAGGGCAAATTATTACTCTTCCCCTTTAAGCTCTTCATAGGAAGTCTTTTCCAGATGAACGTTAGAGTTCAGACTATAGGGGTATTTTGATGTAGAATAAACATGGAACAGATTCTAAAGGGGGAAAAAAATCCTAAATTTGATTACATAAAAACATGAACTTCTGTACATGAAAAAGATCAGAAACACACCTGGGAGAAGTATTTGCACAATGTGTAGCAGTATTTGGGTAGGAGTCAGGCAGATGCTATGATCCTCAAGATCTCAGGTCCTACCACCCCCTGAAGCCCCCTAGCCTTTACCAGCTGGCAAATTGCCCAACTGCCATGGAATGCTCAAGAGAGGGAATGGATGTTCAAATCAGCCTCTTACTTGGGAGGATCTAAGAGTCAGTCTGAAAGAGAGAACAGGAATCTTTTATTTTTTTAAGATTTTATTTATTTATTAGACAGAGAGGAAGCAAGAGAGGGAACACAAGCAAGGGGAGTGGGAGAGGGAGAAGCAAGCTTCCTGCTGAGTAGGGGGCCTCATGCAGGGTTCTATGTCAGGACCCTGGGATCATGACCCGAGCCAAAGGCAGACACCTAATGACTGAGCCATCTAAGTGCCCCAAGAGAACAAGAATCTTGAGCACATTCAAATTTGTTCACAGAGTTGACTTGTAAACTGGACAGAAAGGAGAACATGAAGGGGTATGTCAGAAAGAAAGTGCCAGAGCCTAACAATCAGTGTGAAGACTGGTTCAAAGAAAAGTGTGAAGCTATATGTCCACTGCCTGCCATAGAAACAACCACACACTTGGATCACCTTTGCTATCTGAGGAGGAGAGGCCAGGCCTGTGGTACAACTAAGAAATACAACTATCTTAGTGCAGAAACGCTTTCCAAAGAGCTGGTTAGAAAATGTAGAGAAATTTACCTGCTGGTCAAACAGAGAAGAGTCCCCATGTTGGTGAGGGACTGTGGGAAACAGCATTGGGTTGTTTGTCAAGGACTCTAAGACAGAAGGAGCAGCCATCATGGAAAGGTACAAATATCTGATCTTTATGTGAGTTCCTCCCCTTCCCTACCCAAGTTTCTAAAGAATAATGGTAAGAGAAACCCCAGAAGTGCTTTATCAACAAGGGTAAAGCTCTGAACATTAAGATTTGTGAATGGTAGAAATTTCTAATTGCTGGTAGGTGAAGCCTGGACATCTATGGGTTAAAAAAGAAAGAACCAGAGGGTTAATAGTGTCCTTAGTTTAGAAGATACTCTTAACACTAAAGCAAAGAAAGGACTGCCTTTCCAATAGAAGAAAAAAAAATGTCAATGGATAGCAACAGATAATTTCCTAGTGAATGAAAGAAACTAGAATATGTCACCCCAATACATGTCTCTTTGACATAAAAATTATTTTGAGTTGAAGACAATTAAGAAACAGTAAAAAAAAAAAAAAAAGCAGAAAATCCCTTTTCTGCTTAAAGGGAGGATATAAATTCTTCTTTTATTGGAGATAAACTCTTATCAGCCCAGAGAAGGTACCAGAGGAAACTGCAAACAAACCATGGTTAAACCAACCCTTATCTTCTAGTTACTTCTTCACCATTTACTCCCCCTAGCACAAAACCCCTTTCCTTGTCAATTCCTCACAAATTTATTGTTTATAAAACTTCCTGTTCTGATTACTTATATGAACCTTAATTTTGTGTGCACACATGTCTGTGTGCACACGTGCATGTGTGCGTGTGTGTGTGAAGGCTCCTATGTGCATGTAAAAATATAATAAAATTTGTGTGCTTTTCTCCTATTCATCTGTCTTTGCCAATTTCATTTTTATACTCAGCTAGGGACATGAAGAGGTTGGAGGAAAACTTTTTCCTGACCTACATGAAGCATTAAGATTTATAAACATACATTTACAAATATTCAATTTAAAAATGAAAGAAGAAATAAAAATTAAAATGATAAAATACATTAAAGTATCAATTAACCCAATATTTGAAACATATTAAACATGACAAGGTAGAGGAGAGAAGACCCATAAATTCTAGTAGGGATAAAGAACACAAGCTGTCTAAGAAGAGATTTGACAATAAATACACAGCACTTAAAAATGCTCATATTCTTTGACATAGTAACTTTTAGAACTCAATCTAAGAAAATCATTAGAGAGGGAAGAAATATTTACAAATATACTTATTGCAGCACTTTTATAATAAAAACAGTGAAAACCTAAATAGGAAATGACTAAATAATTAAGATAATATGTATTACACAATCATCAAACAATGTTTTAGGGTAAATTTAGTTACGTGGATAATATTTAATATCTCACGTACAATAGAAGGAGGAAAAAAAAGATGCAAAACTGTATACTATGATTGCTTAGAAGCCATGAAATCACTGAACTGTACCTCAGACATTGCCCAGGCCCTTGCAATCATTTTACGAAGAAATTAAGGCTCAAAAAAGAAATGAAGGATGGGAGAAGATAAATGACTATCCCCCGAGTCACAGGGGTAGTTTGGAGCAGACCAGAACTGGTATTCTAGGCCCTCCACTCCTCATTCTAGTTCATGGAATTTGCTCACGTGGAGTTCCAGACCTGTAACACATGACTTTGGGGGTTTCCAAATTCTCACCTACATCATCACATCTCTCTCTCTCTCTCTCTCATTCACATTTTGCTTATCAGCCAGTTATGAATCGGAGTCAAACTGCCTTGATCTCCAAATCCATAACTGCCTGGAAAAAGTGAATCCTTTTTTTACTACTTTGCATCATCTTTTCTCTAAATTATTCCATTTTTCTTATTGGTGCCATATCATTAACACTTTGGGAAATATGCATTCCTGAGGGAAATGCCTCTAAGTCTTCTCAAATTCACAAGTTTGAAAATACCATTATTACATATCATTTCCTCCATAAAATGCCATAAAGTATAACTTAAAATTTAAAGTGACCCCCTCAGACAATTAATGATTCCATAAATTTAGTACTAAAGTCTTTTATATAGCTATTAAAATAAATTCTGGTGGAAGTAATTGCTGAAGTAGTTTCACAGATTGCTTACTCTTGTTTCTCTGTAGAGTACATCATAGTTCTGAGTTGAACTCACTATTAGACTCCTTAATATTACTTTCTGTCTGAGAAACATAATCTTTGGAGCCTCCTCACTTCCATCTCAAAGTTAGTTGTTAACTTTCTTTCAAGGTCATTTTCCCAAAATATATAAATGTGAGGTTTTAGTTTAGTTTTGTTTTTTAAATTCAATCATGAGCAGTAGTGAATAGACAGCGCTAAGTAGAGAACATGGTCAAGTCAGGATTCAGACACCTAAAAGCCAACTAATTCTACCCACTTGCCATCTTAGCTCATTCTAGAACATTAAGTTCAAATTCACGAGCCCTGTTAAGTTACTAATTACTACTACATGTTCCTAAACAACTGAAATGTAAAATGTTATCCTCGAATGCCAAGAATCTATTCTATTATTTTATTTTCTTATGGTTTTTGATTGCCAGTAAGACACTTTATAGTCTCCTTTTATTATACTCTGCCTAGCTTATCCCCCTTCCAATTAGTGTAAATAGATATTTTTCTTTTTCTAACCTCATCCCTAGTATAAAATAGTTGCTCTGACTTACTTACACATTTGGCTGTGTGACATAACTCTGCAAATAAGCTGGTTCAAACTGTTAATGGGACAAGAAAGGAAAGACTAAAATCCATGTTCTTGGGACACCCCTAGGTCAAACACAACCAAACCTGTGATTCCCTACATTATCCCAAAGTGAATGCTTTGTTCTATTCTAAGAGTTTAAAATACATCACGATCTATTGGGTCTTTTCACCAGTGAAAACAGATGAGAAGTATGCTATTTAACATCATGAACGAAAGGGGGAAATTACATTGCTCATGTATAGTGGAGGCATCAAATTTCACCATGCCTTGCACGAAATAAAGAGCAGATGAACAATCTTAATAATGGTCATGTTCTTCCTGTGTTCCCAGCAAATACCAGTTCACTTCAGAACTATTAGACTGGTATGTCAAAACATAGTCTGGCTTTGTCATTTTGAATGAAGACTGTGAAAAGATCTAACTTGTGGTCTAATGAGCCAGAAACCCAGACTCCTAACTGGTGACAAAGAGATGGGATCTGTCCATGGCTACTTATGTACTTGGAGTTTTGAACAAGTTAATTACTTGGACTGGGGCTTACCTTTGAATATATTTCTGGTATAAATTTGGTTAGGTTAAAGAAATATTTTAAAGGATTTTGTCAATGATAATCATAAAACTCAGCAACTGTTAAAATAGTCTAGTAAATAAATTTCAAGTAGATTTACATGATAAATACTAGCATGTTTTACTTCCATTCCCATGTGCAGTTACAACCACGTCCTCACAATTTTACCTCCTAAACACACACCCATCCATTCTTCTCTGTTTCTACTAGCATTATTCATGATCACACAGCCATATTCTCTGATGAAGATGTTGATCATTTTCTATTCCAGGGTCCCACCAATCTCTTCATAGTTTTCTCAGTGTTTTTTGTATATTAGCCATCTCTGAACAACTATCTGCTCCACTAAACTCATCTTTTAAAATAACAGACAAATTTCGCCAGATGCTATAGAGGAAGGAAAAGAAGATCTACAATTTCAGCTGACAGATTTTTTTTTTGATTTATCAAAATAAAATCAATATACAAGAGGTTAATCCTTACTGTCAACCCTACCTTAACCGAGGAGCTTGTGTCTTAAAAAGATACGTATGTGTAGAGGGGTCAATCTGATTCTAGCTATACACACCAAGCCCTGGATGGCACATGATGTGTTATAGGTTAGATCTTCCTGCTGCATCTTGGAGCTATGGGGCTATTTCCATGTTCTGCTCACACTATCCAGAGTTGAGACCTTCCATATAACCTGGACCCACCTCCCACACTCCGCTCCTTCCCATCTCCTAACAGACAGCGGCGTCTTCAAAACACCACAACCCCTTAATCTGACTTCTTAGGAGAAGTATCTCCTTCTTAGGAGAAGTATCTCCTCTGTGCAGGCTGCAAAATGCTGCTAATGAGACAGGTGACTAGCCTCATCCCATGCGTTCTGCCTTCCTTTCTCTCCATCTTCCATTTCTCTGTTCTTTCCCCCTCAGCCTGAAGGTCCTCCCTTACATCACAATGTGATTTCCAAATAAGAGTGGTGGAAGCAATGGGGATAGTTATAGAAGGCCATTAAAGATGCTTCATTAGCATCGAGTGCCCCATTGTAATGAACCTTGTGGCCCTGAAGGAGGAAAGAGGTTTAACCTCTCTGCAGGGAAGAGCCTCAGATATTGCAGGTTTCACTGCCCAAGATACAGGGGGCAGCTTGCAACAAGCCTGTCTGTAGAGCAGTGTTGCTTAACAATGAAGTGTGGGGGGGGGGGACAAAAACATTCCTCCACACTCATGGGGCCTCTGGCTGGGCCAGATAATTAAACTGGCAAAAAAAGATGAACAAGAGAAAAGCATACTCAATAAGAAATGAATTTTTACATGTACAGGGGAGGCTTCCCAAGAGAATGAAGACCCCAAGAAGTGACTGGAACAGGAATCTTTTATACCTTTTGGACAACAAAAAATATATCTGTAGAGAATTGACAAGATGAAAGAGTTTGGGCTAGGGGTAATAAGTAGTGAAATAAATCATGAATTCCCTGTCTTTGGTGATAACAA